TTGACCTACCAAATCTGCACGCTGCCTTCTTCTCCGCCGCACACCAAACGCAGCTCCTCCGTCGTGTCCATCAGAAACTGCACCGACGTCACGCGACGGTCGCGTTTCCCACGCACCAAGTGCGCAAAGAACGAGACTTGCACTCCTGATCCTTCAACTGCAGACCCATCAGTCCGTGTGCTGCTTTCGACGCGGTAAAGGAAGAGACTGTTCTTTGCTCCAAAAGCGAACAGCAGCCCAAAGACGTCGCTGTCGCTCCAGTCACAGATCTACAGATAGATAGACAGTCAACCCCAATGAAAATTATACTGACACTTAGAATAATAACAGTAGCAATTATCATGACGAGAACAAGAAGTTCATCCCAATATCGACAAGACACTCGCAATTAATTGCATTCAATTCGACCGCACGACATCACGACGGACCTTTGAGCAGTACCAATTCGCAGAGGGCGGCAACAGACGCGTGTGGGTCGTGCCAGACACTGGGTGCTCCTTCCAGCGCTTTGCTGCAGCGTCTTGCGCTCCAACGTCGTCCTTCTGCGCCCTTGTCGCGGTTCGGGAAGCCATGAGTCAACAAAGTGACCATCACTCTTTTTCTTAGGAACGCGAGGTCGTATTATCATCCAATCAAACGCGACGTCGGTCAGTTGTCCCATGCGCGTAGGCGCTGGCCGTCCGAGACGCGGCGGAGACGTCCGGGACGCGGCGCATTCGCTCCTCCCCGTGCCCGTGCGCGTCAAGTTCCACAAAGTTTAAGCGCGCGCGCCGCCCCTATTGCTCGTCGTGTTCTCGCCGTTGAAGACCGAGCGACTGACTCACAACTCCGACGTCACTTTTCGTTTGGCTAGCAGAAAAGAGCTCGAGAGACCCGGACCCGAAGACGATCCAACAAGTTGCATGCGTCCCGTCACGTGCGCCACCGGCTCAAGCACTGGCTCCAGCAGCGGCTGGACGAGCACGAGTACGAGCGCTACCGGCACGTCGCCGTCGCCTGTTGGTGGCTGGAACGTTGGCATGCAGCGGCGAGACCGCAAGCTCTGGACGACGATCGTCGAGCGCGTGGAAGCTGATGTGGCAGTGCAGCAGCTGACGCTCGTGGAGCTGGAGGAGATGCTGAAGCAGCTGCTGGGCGTGGCGCTGCCGAATCCTCGTATTCGAAGCGACGTATGTACTGAAGAGTGGGCCATTTTTGGGAAGATCGAATGTGGCTAATTGGTGTTTTTTTTTGCTGCTCTGTGTGTGGTTGTGGCTGTTGTTGTGGTGTTCATATGGGCAGGAGATTGCATTGCTGATTACAGCCTTGGCGCAGCTGTTGCCCTTGAGTTCGGGGCTGCTGTGCTCGGAGTACACGCGGCTCGTGCAAAAGTGCTGTTGTAAGGAACGCGTGCTGTTCTCGAGCGCACAGCTGCGTGTGGTGATGACGTTCTTTTTGACGTTCATCAAGACGTGTCCTAGTTGGTATACGGCCAACTCTATCCGTGCTTTGGGTCAAGTGCTACATGACAATGCGGATCGAGCAAATAAAGAGTTTGAGCTATTGTTTGCAGTATTGCTAAAGCATTTGGACCCTTCAGGAGTGGACATTGAAGCTCGATATGCGGCTACAAATTGTGTATCGAACATTTGCACACAGGCTGGTAAAACACCTGAGGTGTACCACTACTTTTCGTCGTTATTGCGTGTGGTGGTGGAAAACTTTCGACAGCAAGCTCTTAGTCTGGTGAAGGGCCAGAACGACCGTATCCTTGTGAAAGCATGTACCTCTAGCATGAAGTGCGTGTTTACGATTATCAACTCAAACTTCGACCGCCTGAGGGATCGTATCGCGGCAACGCTGCCCAGTCTTCTCGGCTCTATGCGCCAAGTAATGGGTTTTGGCCTTGTGCTGAAGATTGATCAAAACGACGTGGTGTTCACGTATCAAGAAGAACTGCACCTTTCTGATTCCGATTCGTCTTTATACGGCTCTGATGGTATAATGGGATCACGCGAAATGGGGGAGTAAGTGCTCTGATACTAATCTTGTCTCTTATTTGCTTGTCATGCTAATTTTGTATATGCTTACATCTTTTGTAGCGATTTGCTCGCTCGGCTGCGCATTACCGTGCTGTACACACTGGAAGCAATAGCGGAACACTTTCCCAAAGCCATTACTTCGTCGATGGGTCTGTACCTACCGGAGCAAACCACGCCGTATATGACGGTATTTAACAATACACCGTCGGTCCTCACTCTGCTTATTGCAGACCCAAGCGAAAAGGTTCGCGTGACGGCTGCTAAGTTTGTGGACGCTTTTTGGGAAAAAATTCCCCTAAAGATGTACTTCCGACGCCCATTTGGGATCAGCACAACGTCTGCACCTACTGCTTCATCATTGTCGTTTGCGATACCGAAGCGGATCTCTTTGATGCTGTATCAGGTGCATGTCACCTTGGTGTATTGTATTCAGCACGAGAGAGAATCCGCACCGCTTGCACAGATACTTAAGGTGAGTGAGCAAGTCATTATGAATGCGTTAATGATCATCCGAGCTGAGCTTAATGTTTCTTGTGTGCTAATAAATTATAGAGTACTGCTTCAGTGATTCAACATTTTCCTTATGGAAACGTGGCTGCGGTTCTTGACCAGATCGAACTCACACCAAGCCTCGGAGATATCTTGAAGGCGCTCGCGTCAAGTTTGTACGTAGCAGCAGCGTCAACTGGTAAGTTGTGTTAGGTGCAATTGATACGTAGACTCGTGAGTCATCTGTTGTTTTGGTGTATATACTCCTGTGTTCAATAGATCATGGTGTGCGGATGGCAAGTTTGTCATGCATGTCAACACTTCTCAATGTTCCAGAGACTCTTCCGTCGATCCTGGAGTGGATGGTGAACACAAGCGACACTGACCACGTGATCCGAGTTGCACACATATCGATCGCCTGCGGTACGTGGTTACTGCGTCACCGTTCATTTGTTGAGGAGCTTTTGCTGATGGCATCCCGACCCGATGACTCGTCGCGCACGTTACTGCGCTTGGAGGCTATGTCACTTTTGTCCAAGATCGCAAAGAACTATTCACCAGCCCTCAGTGTTAACTGGAGGCAACTTTCGGAATTTATGTTGACAGCATTTCAAGACATGGACCCGAATGTACGCCTTCAAGCGGTAAAAATATTGGAAAACTACATTAAGGGCGAGAATGGAAGCTCTGATAGTGCACTGCTTGGAAGTGCAAATACAAAGGGGGCTTGCCGTATCGACTGTTTGGAGCTGATGGCGACACATTTAGTGCGAGCGTTCTATGATACCTCACACCATGTTCGTGCGAGTGTCTGCGCATGCTTTACGCTGTTATCTGCTCAAGACTGGGCCTGGCTTGGTGAGAAGAAACGGTCCCGACGCCTTCCAGTATTAGCAGCTAAAAGCGGCGGCTACAATGGATCTGGGCCTCATGTTTCGTGCCTAGACGGATACACTCGGATTATCTTGCAAACTCCGAAAGACAGCTCTCCAGTTGTGCGCGCAGCGGGATTCCGTCTCCTAGGGTCGCTGTGCCTTGCTCCGACGTTTAAGACGTGCGGATTTGCCTGTACTGTGGTGAGCTTAGCTCTGGAGGCTCTTGGCGACTCCACTCTGAATGTGCGTGTTCGGGCTGCATGGGCGTTGGGCAACGTTTGTACCACACTTGGCCCCGAGTCGATTCCAGAGAGTAATGAGCCATCACTCCCTCCACCAGCACTGCCATCATTGTTTGTAGCCAAAGTGGAATCGTCGATGGCATCCCCACCGTTGCCCCCTCAAGTGCTGTACGAGCTATTACCGGAGAAGCAGTTGCGCCTTGTAATTGAGAAGATGATGGTGTATATCAATGACAACGACAAGGTAGCTTCGAGTGTGGCTCGTACGTTGGGGTTGGTATGTCGTTGGATCAGCTTTACACCCTTCCGGCGCACTTTGACTGTAAAAAGCTGTGCTTGGCTGGATGACCTGTTGGGGCAAGCAATGACTGTGCTAGCAAGCAAGATCAATGCAGGCTCGCCCAAGGTCAGATGGAATGCGTGCCACGCTATCGCTAAGGTTTTATTGTGTCCCAGCCTGCCATTATCGTCGGTGTCATGGGCTCCATCTGTTTTTCAAGCACTATTGACTGCTGTCGCACAACAGGAGAACTTCAAGGTGCGTATTAGTGCCGCGACTGCGCTGCGGGTGTCTCAAGCCCGAAGTGCGTTTGGTTCTTTCTTCCAGACGGCGCTTCAAGCCACGATGGATGCTCTGGAGACGGCATCGGACTTGAAGGATGTGACCGAATTTCGTTACAAAGAGCAACTGGAGACGCAGCTTTCATTTACGTTGGTGCACCTAATTCACATTGCCACGGAAGAAGATGACCCGTTGATATTAGAGGCGTTTAAATCCAAGCCTCATGGGTTCCTGTACGACTGGCTGCTGCACAATCTCCACCGCATGATAGCGGCAATTGAACGGGAGAGTGAAGCAGTCGCTAGCGTGGGCACGGACGCTGGAGATGCTGTTGAAGAAGGCAGAGCTGGAGGAACAGGTGACGCGCATGACGTGAACCCCATCAAGAAAGAAGAGCTGCTATCTGCAGTGCGCTCGTTGCTGCGTATTTCAGAATGTCTTACGACGGACAAGGCCTACGCAACCAGCTGCGTTTCGCTCTTGTACGACACGAAAATTGGACTCGAGCATGATGTACTATATTCCAACGAGGATATTCCCTTCGAGCTATGAACGGGCTGGGCAGATATTGTCTTGTGGCGGGAAGTAACATGCACGTGGAACGGTAAGAGGTGTAAAAGCCTGCAAAAGGACGATAAGCAGGTGGCAAACACGATTGGGATGCATTGTCATTGTTGATCTTGTTTGTAGGATGGTTATGGTCACACTGCTATTTTTCCAAGCTGACGGCATTCGCGTGCAACAAGCATGACGTGTATCGCGGAATTTCTAGCGCAGCCGCTGGCCTTGCGGTCCACGCAGAAAAATGTAGCTAGCGCCGCTGGAAACGGGCACGTCTGTTTCTCTTGCGACCGCCGCGATGGCGACGTTTGCGTGGCTGACCCTCCGGTTTCTGACCCCGACGCTCTTTCTTTTGCTTTATTTGCTCGTCAGTAAGTGGCAAGTAGTACAGCACAGGTTTTGTTTCTGTCTTTTGAAAAAACTCGTCGATCGTCACCTCTACACGAACAGCAAACATCATCAGTCTTTTGCATCAGAACCAGTTCGTCCTTCGTTCAATCTTTACCCGGCCGCTGAGGAGCTTGTTCGCTGCTACTTCCACGTTTTGGTTGACTCGGAATGTTTGCCTCGCCGAGCTGTGCAACCTGATCCGTACGAGACAGCGACGAGCTTAGCACTAGTCGCTGCGCAACCATGATTAGCGTAACCGTACCTCCATGGCTGTATGGTCTACGAACTTGACCTTGAGCGACCGCCCATTTTCTGGAGGCCACAATTTACCGTCGAGTGCAGCGATACTACTTTCTGCCTGTATAGCATGCAACCAGCGTCATAGTCAGTTACCAGCTCTGCACACTGTCAGGAAAAGAAGCGCAGACAATTTCGGAGCTGGTGTACGTCACGAAGCAGTGCGTCTTGATCGCATCCATCCAGAAGCCACCTTCCACAAAGGGACCACATTCTCGCACGAGCGCCTACACAAATCTCGGATCAGTCCACTGCACCACGAATGTCTACACAAGCGACCAACCTTGACAGCATTTAACGTGAACGGCCGGACAAAGTTGTCAATCCGAATTGTTGTCTTGTTTCCATCGTCTCTGCGGTCATTTATCACCGGCCAACAGTAACGGAAAACACAAAGCAAGACAAGAAACTCAGCTCCATTTCCCATCAAGCACTCAGACATCCAAGAAACAGCACACGCCGTACCCTCGACCACATCCGTCTACCACTTTTTCATCAGCCTCGGTATCATCGAGCGGCATTGTCGTTTTGCTCTGATCTTCCTTTTTAAGCTGCTGACCGCTGGTCTCGAAATCATCATCCAGCTTGGCCTTTTTTGTACCCGATGAATCGTTCTGATCGTTGTCAGCACCCCGGTGTCGTTTCAACACTCCTGTCTCTGCACTCTTTCCGCCCTCTCCATCGCTCTCCACCTCTAGTGCCTCATCCTGCTGCTCCCCACTGCCTTCCATACCTATGTCTTCATTCTCTTGGCAATCCGATGCCTTTGTCCTTTCCTCTTCATCTACCTCTTGCTGCATCTGCTCTTCCTCCACATTCTCTTTATCCTTTTCCTCCTCCTCCATTCCTTCCCGTTCCTGTCTATCCTCCACCACAACTTTCTCGTCCACCACTTTCATCTCCTCATTTTCCTCCTTCACTTCCTCCTCCTCCTTCCCCATTTTCTCATGCTCAAGTTCCCCCTTCTCTTGCAGCTTCAAGACCTCATCCTGGCCAAAAATCCACCATAGAGTCAACCTCAAGTCAGTTCCTCAAACACCTAACCACCTCTTCTTCATCTCCGCTCTACAACCTGCTGCACGTGCTCTTTCAGACGCTGAAGCAGCACCGCTTTCAACCCACTTGCGTCCAGACCGCGTTTCTTGAGCTCTCGCTGCAGATCCTTCACCTGCGCACACACCAAGACAGAGACAGAAAGAAAATGTGAATTAGCAGCACAGAACAGCAGACGATACTCAAGAAAACCGCGAGCAAGAGCCACGAACTTTGAGGCGAGTGAGCGCGTCCGGCGCAGCGTGTTCCAGCGTCATGGTGGTCGTCGAGCTCGAGTTTCGTCGAATGTGTAAAAACAAATAAACAAAAACGGATAAAAGATGATAAAATCCACTCTAAAAAACGGTTTTACGTGCTGTAAAAAACCACACATTTTGTCGCCGGACACACCAGTCGTACACAATAGAAATGCTCGAGACTTTCGACGTCAAAGAGCTCCGCGACAAGCTACTGGCCGATGCCTCGCAGTGTCCACGGGAGGAGCTCAAGGCTGTCCAGCAACTGGCCGATACGATACGGCACGCTGAAGACCGTGACCTCCATCTGCTCGTTCCTGCCGCCGCTCGCATTGTCCGGGACCTCAGTCGCGTTGTGGTCAAGTGTGTTACAACAGCAGCTGCCGACACGCAGAATGTACCCATGTTGGTCGCTCTCGACGATCGGTTGGTACCACTTTTGGTCGTCATGCGGTCGTTCATTGATCGATTGTCACATACAAAGAGAGATAAAGAAGACGCCAATGCGTTGACGCAATGGCTGCCGTTCGTGCTCACGGCTTGTTACTTTGTGACGGAAGCAGACCTACCAGGAGCCAGTACGATGCAGAGTCTTGTCATGGCTGATGAAGTGCTGGACAGCGCTGTGTTGCTTGTAAATGCACATAACCGAGAAGGATTGGTAACAACGTACGTTGCGCAGATGGTGGCGTTGTGTGCGCACGATGTGGATAAACAAGAGTGGGTGGCAGTCACGTCCATTTGTAAGCAGGTGATGCTGCGGGTAGTGGAGCAAGTGAGCTTCCCGCATCTTGGCGGAGACCTACTTGGTCGTCTGCTGGCGCTTACGTTCCCGTTGATTGATGATTTGACTGACTCGACGCAATTGATTGGAGTGCAATTGCTGCGCCACATTGTCCAGAATGTCACATCTACTGAGCTGCGATGGTATTCCGACGTGCTGCTTGAGGTACTTCATACGTCACTTGTTGTACGCAAACCGCGTACACTGGACGTGTTGCTGGACTGTCTTGTCGAATCTCTCGACAAGGTCTCTCCCCCCGGTGAATTCAAGCACTATGACCGATTCATGCCGCGGATACTTAGTGACACAAGTTTGTGCAGTGATGTGACTCTCCGAATTGTCTTCGTTCGCCACCTCCGAGCTCTCGTTGTTCGTCAGGGAGCGCCGCACAGCTTCAATGTCATCCGCTACCTGCAGCCACTACTGACGGTGTTTGTCGCAGGATTTGAGAGCGTCAATGTTGAACTCCTGGTAGAGACACTCGAAAGTGTCCGGGCTACAGTACTTGCTGCGTGGCCTCGTATTGCACCACATACCGAGCAGATTCTGGTCGGCGTGCTACGTGTTGTGGCTTTTTGCGTGTTGTTTGATGACGGTGCCGACTTCACGCCAACTCCAAAGCAGAAAGAGCAACTGCTTGCGCTGTGTGAGGACACACTGGATCTGCTGCACCAAGTAAATGCATCGGAAGACTTTGTTAGTGACATGCTTGCAGCTGTGAGTAATCAGAGCCGAAAGTTATCGCCATTCTGTGATCGCATGCAAGCTAAATGGGCGGGCCAAGTTTCAGTCACGTGAAAATATTCTCGTTGTGTCATGTGAGATGAGTTTCGTTCATCGGCATACAGTGCGCGAGAAAATGATAGGACAAACCAGATTTTAGAGATGTTCAGGGGAAAGTACCAAATATATTCCAGATTTGCGAAAACAAATGCATAATATTGCGGGGGTCAAAAATATATTACACGGTGAGAAAATAAAAAAATACCACGAAAGATGGAGCAAAAATATCGACCAGAACTAAACGTTTGGTATGATGGAAAAATTTTAGAACCAAGGGGGGGCTCTTGGCCGACAAATTGATCGTTTGTGGACTGCCGAAGCGAAAACAACACACCACCAGATGAGGAAAATATAATATATGCTGATGCACATACTTACTAGATTTATGGCATGACAGAATGAAGTACCACGGGTGGCTCCAAGGAGGGCTCCATCCTGCGGGGGACGAGATATCCCGTGGGACACAGCGGTACTAGATCATTTAACGTACATGCACAAAAAGCTAATACGAATAGATCTGCATGCAAATAAGCGCCTCCATGCGCGCCAAGAGCACCAATAAATGGGACTGATGTACGGAAAATAATCGCAATGCGATCGGTGTAACGGGGCACTCTTTGTTTGGGGTGCCACGAAACTTCACGTACACTCGTACTTGCAGAGGAAGCTAATCTACTCAAACAGCTAATTTGAGTAAAAGGCAAAAAGAGAACTGTATTTAATGTAGCTAAGCTATCAGTATAACTTCAGTCTTTATCTAACTATATTATTCTACATCGTCGTATGACGACAATCTGCTCACCACTCATTACGCGCGTCTAGCAGCGATTGGTGGTAATCTTGGTTGATTTGTATACTATCAACCAATCTTTGAGCAGCGCATGAATTTTGTCCCAAGGAATAATATTCCTTCAATTTTACCTATCTCGAGTAAATGGGAGGAGATTGTCACGCTAGACAATCTCCCAATTGATACCGTTTGGTACCAATATCATGTGATGGGATACCCCGTTACATCACCCCCCCTTAACAATCAATCACCCGTTGATTGAATTAAATGATTGGTACAAGGTGACCACCGTTGGATCTTTCTGGGAGCACTTGTTGGTCAAATAAAAATTCCATTCATTTTCTAATCCAACGCATGATTTTAACACACAAGCTAGTTGCTACTGCAGCAGCAAGAATGGCGGTTGCACGCATGCGTGCAGCCTAAGAGGGTTCTTCTCTTGCTTCAGAAGCAGGTGATCCTTCTCCTGCTGTCTCGATTTAGCAACAGGCAGTGTTTATTGTGAACAGTCCACGTGGTGAGTCACCACATGCGACAGAAATACCCACTGCGTCTGCAGGGGGTGCTACGAATCGCAATGCGGATGAGACTGAAATAGAGATCATTTATTCTGGCGAGTCTGATGATCCATCCCACTCGAAAGCGACACCTCACGCCTCCAGATCATCCGGGGCGGACACTGCAAGAGCCAGGTTACTGAATTTGGGGGACATGGTGGCATCGTGTCCGAGATCTTCGGACCGAGCGATTCTTCTGACGAATCCTCTTCTCACGCAAGTTCATCTGACAATAGGAAGCGTGATGATGGGGTTGACGCACTCAAACGTCACCACGAAATAAGCAACTCGAAAGATAGAGCTGGTGTATTGCTCATACTGAAACCACTCAAGAGACTAGGGACCGCAATGTCCTGCGCCACGCTCCTCAAGTGGAATCTCCTTGGATGCTGTCATCCAAGGAGTTAGGTAGAGTGGCCTGCATGACCACTGAACGGGATCGAATCCCGTTATTCGGCTGTAGGAGGATATGTCCTCCTAATTCTAGCACGGAAGCTATTCGTGCTGAGGAATAGGTCTTCATCGATGCGCTTTTGAAACATCGGTGGTACAATGGCAGCCGTGTTCGGGACGGTAAGGCCTTGGTGCAAGGATGAAATGCCTTCATCCATAACATCGAGTATATTGGCCGTGAGGCCTTGCCCGGTAAACTTGATGCAGCTTGCATCAGGTTTGAGAAGCGCAACCCAGTCGGGGCGCGATACAAGTTGCACCGGCCATCAAGAGAGGCAGGAATACCCTGTCTCTCGTGGGGTGAGTTGTGTCCAGGCTGCCTGGACATTGTGAATCGTGCCTCTAGGGATGCCTACCTCTCTAATGTTCCCTACTGGAGGGCTCGCATCTCTGCTGAGATGGCCGAAGGGATTGACAATTTGCAATCCCTGTACTCACGTTCGGGAAGGTCGTTTTCAGACGATCGTTCTTCGAACGCAGCGGGTGGGTCTCGTCATACTGCTCGACGAGACCAAGGACATTAACAATCAGCTGGGCACGAGGCTCCTAGCTGTCCCACGCCGGTGGGTAGCCACGCCAGCGGACGAGGTAACTCGTCTAGACGCCATTCACGTTGCGGTGGTTCAAAATACGCTTCACTAGAAAGCGTTGACTACCGCTTGAGTCCACCGAAGGATGTGGTGGCGGCGGGAACACCTGATCCTGCTCGATGGTCGGACCAGCTTGATGTTCAAGAGCTGCACCGTGTAATGAAACGGTTGCAAAATGACCTGGCTCATGAACGGACTTGGCGTTATGAGCTCCATGATCTTATAAAGGATAATTACGATTCCTTAGTGCACGATCGTTCGAACGATCGTGCCGCGTTTGCGTTCACGCAACTTGAGAGCGAACGTTCGATTCGTTCTCTTCGTGACGAGCTGGATGCAGCTCTTCGAGACATCGCTCAACCGCGTGAGCAGGTCGCTTTGCTAGTCGAGCAGACTGAATCGTTGATACGGGACCATTCGAAGGTGGTCTCGGCCCTTGACCGCGGAGGTGCTCTTTGCCTCTCGAAACGGGCTCGTGCTGATATTAAGGGCGGAGACGTCCAACGTAAAACGTAGGATGCGTACGCATCCTTTGAGGCAGTTCAATCGTGTATGCGTTGCCCGTGCGGCACAACAAACGAAATGGACCGATGCACTTGGGCAGTAGTTTGCTGCTACCCACGTTTGTCACTGCGTGTTTTAGTAGATCTACTGCTGACAGCAAAACTAAGTCTCCTTCATCAAATGAAATAACATTTGCTCTTCCGTGTTTACCTGCGTTTCTTTTCTGCTTGTCTACTGCATCTGCAATGGAGTCTTGAACGAAGCGTACAACCGCTTCGCGAGTCAGCAGAAATTTCTCTGCTGACTCACCCTTGTTAACAAAAGCATGCTTCGTGTGCACTGCTAAAAGAACGTTGTCTTCATCAGTGCGGGCGTCATCGTCCTCACTTGGCAGTCATTGGCGATGCTGAATATGCCAGCATCGTCGTCATCGATACCGATCGCATCGACATCGGCATTATCACGTCGACACCTTTGTCGACGGGTGATCAGCAAGAACCAGATCGGCTTTTGTTCGAGCGATTCCACCCCACCCCTTAAACTAGAGTCACAATCTAAGA